AGCAGTGCACGTCAATTGGTCGAACCGTTTGACTTGCTGCGTATTTTCCAAGAATGTTTGTTGAATGCCCTGTGGCTAATCATGAAAATACATAATAAATCGCAAGCAGTGCCCGTCATTTGGTCGAATTGTTGACTTGCTGCGTACCTCCAGAATGTCTATCTGGAAGCGGGCGGGCGGGCGGTCGCACTGTGCTCTGGTTGCAGGGCGGAGTCACGGAAACGCCTACGTTACACAAGCGGCCTCTCTCCGCGCCAGCGCCTAGGCGCGATGGCATCGCCTCGGCAGGCAGGCAAGGCCGCGAGCGCGACTCGCCGAGAGGTCGGATCACCGCTTCTCGCACTCGATAGCACTCCAAACAGCCACCGCGACTCTTTGAGAGATTCACGTCGCGTTTTCCAACACTTTGTTGAGGTACACTGATTACATTTGGACGTGTGGGGCAATATTTACCTTTCTATCGTCTCTTGATGTATCATTTCTTTTCTGCGGAATTTTTTATGATTAAAGTTACATAGCACAATATATTAAGATTACAACATAAAACGGCAAATAGACACTATACATGGAAAGGCCGATGTAGACCAAGAAGATATGTAAACGGTTATTTCAAGAGTTCTTGTCGAATTTAAAAGGAATTTATTCCAGAAGATTATTCGCATATGGATACTTAAGAACAATCGTTCAATTACACTGAAGATATCAGCCCGAAAAAAATACCCATTCAGTCCAAATATGCAGTGTAATAAGTGAGAGTCGACATTTTATTCTCGTGAATTGTCCTCTCGTAATTTAATTAACTTATCTCGACTCTGTATCTCTCATTCTGCATAATTCTCATAGAATATATTATTTCTAATGTTGCATCAAGGCGATTAAATACACAATTACAATATAAATCACAGTAATCACAGTTTCAATCTCAATACTAAAGTAATTGAGTCGTGAAGTAAGAAATGAAATAATTGTACAAAAATTAAGTAAAAAACTAAAAGAGTGTAAGTTTCAAGAGTATAGAGCAAGTAACATTTTCGATACAGAACTAAATAAATTTGCATCACTCACAAGTTACCAACAGCTTTATTAATGACTTTCTCATTTTTAATCATCAAAGTTATTGGGAACTCTAGTCTGAATGGAGCCCTCCTTTTTCCTCCAGTTGCAGATCTGTAATGGGACACGGCGTTGCATCAACGACCCGACTGATAACCGTCATCGCGTGGCCCCATGTGCTGAAATCCATGCGAAGTACCATCCTGCAGTGCGAAAACGGGCACAACGTCTGCTTCGACTGCCGACAGTCTTTACCGGCGTGCCCTTCTGCCAACGGATACTTTCTCCGGCTTGAGAAATCTCCTCGCCGAGCAAATCATCTCCAACTTTTCCTCGAGTACTGCGAAACGGGATTCGTGGTTGCAGAGCCCTCGTCCCCGCCGACAGAGTGCAACTTCACAGAGCCACTTGTCCCTACAGCTCATGTTCTGCTGGATTGCGCAGGAACGATGTAGCCTTCAACAAGTAGGATCCACTTCCACAGGAAGCATCGCGACAACGTCATTAAAAACGGCATGAGCCGAGTGGTAAAAAAGCACGAAGTGAAATCGCCTTCTCGTACACGTTTCCAAATCGAAAAGAAAGACCAAGTGTTTTGGTTTTGGCGGAGGAATCAAAGGCGCAGTGGTGTATTTCGGCGTGCAATAGTGGGCGGAGGCAGTAACCAAACCTGCATTTACCGCTTGGAGATTCTCTCTCCGGATCGAAGTATGGAAGTACAGAGCGCCCGGTCCACATGACGTCGGACAACCACAGGACTCAGCTCTCCAACGAAATGTGGGATTAATATCAGCCGACCCCTAGAAGAAGGTGCGCGATTCCGTATAGTTATCGTTTGACGGTTTTATTAATATTTAGATCTTTAGTATTTTAGAGTTAACAATTTTATTAATTTACGTTAAGGAATAACGTCATGCTAATACCAATAAAAGAATTTGTCATTTGATTATGATAATATGGAAGAATTTTTTCGCTGTTTTATGATTGTGTTAGGCTATTGATTGTGCCACTTACACAGCTTTTTGGAAAAATATTGATAATACTCATAACTGGAACTTAAGAGTATTCTGGCAAGGAACCTTGGCGCGATCGCATCGCCTCGTCAGGCAGGCAGGCAAGGCCGCGAGCTCGACTCGCCGAGAGGTCGATCACGCGCTCTCGCACTTGATAGCACTCCAAACAGCGACCGCGACTCTTTGAGAGCATTCACGTCGCGTGTTTCAACACTTTGTTGAGGCGACACTGATTACCATTTGGACTTGTGGCGCAATATTTACCTTTCTATCGTCTCTTGATGTATCATTTCTTTTTTCTTGATTCTCTTTTTTATGATTAAAGTTACATAGCACAATATTAAATTTAAATATGAAATGAAAATAAACCTATACATGGAATGCAGAGGTAGATCAAGAGGGTTATTTCCAACACTTTGTTGAGGTGACACTGATTAGCGTTTGGACTTGTGGCGCAATATTTACCTCTCTTTCGTCTCGTGATGTACCACTGGTTTTATTGATTCTCTTTCATGATTACATTTACATAACAATACCAAATTTAAAAGGAAATAGACCTATACATGTAAGGCCGAGGTAAACCAAGAAGGTTGTACACGGGTTATTTCGAGAGCTCTTGTCAAATTTTAAAAGGAATTTTTCGGTTTTATTACAGAATTATTCGCATATGGAGTACTTAAGAAACAAGCGTTCAATTACAACTAAAGAATATCGGGCCCGAAAAGAATACCTATTCAGTCCAAATATGAGTGTAATAAGTGAGTCGGACATTTTATAACTCGTGAATTGTCATCTCGTAAGTTTAACTAAATTATCTCGACTGTCATAATTCTCATCATGAATATACTATTTCATCAAGCGTGAAATACGCAATTTACAATATAAACAGTAATCACATATTCAATCTCAATACTGAAGTAATTGAGTCATGAAATTGAAATGAAATAATTGTACAAAAATAAAAGTAAAAACTAAAAGAGTGTAAGTTTGTATATAAGTAAACATTTTCGATATAGAACAAATAAATTGCATCACTCACAAAATTCCCATTAGATTTATTATGACTTCATCATTTTTAATCAATCAAGTTATTGGGAACTCTAGTATGAATAGAGCCCTCCTTTTTCCTGAGTTGCAGATGTCGTAATGGACACGGCGTGTATCAACGACCGACTGATAACTGTCATCGCGTGCCCCATGTGCCTGAAATCCATGCGAAGTACCATCCTGCAGTGCGAAAACGGACACAACGTTTGCTTCGACTGCCGACAGTCTTTACCAGCTTGCCCCTTCTGCAACGAGTACTTCTCCGGCTTGAGAAATCTCCTCGCCGAGCAAATCATCTCCAACCTTTTCCTCGAGTACTGCGAAAACGGGATTCGTGGTTGCAGAGCCCTCGTCCCCGCCGACAGAGTGCAACTTCACAGAGCCACTTGTCCCTACAGGCTCATGTTCTGCTGGATTTGCAGGAACGATGTAGCCTTCAACAAGATAATGATCCACTTCCACAGGAAGCATCCCGACAACGTCATTAAAAACGGCATGAGCCGAGTGGTAAAAAAGCACGAAGTGAAATCGCCTTTCTCGTACACGTTTCAAATCGAAAAGAAAGACCAAGTGTTTTGGTTTTGGCGGAGGAATCAAGGGCGAGTGGTGTATTTCGGTGTGCAATACGTGGGCGGAGGCACGGTCAACCAGAACTGCATTTACCGCTTGGAGATTCTCTCTCCGGATCGCGAGATGTATTTGAAGTATAGAGCGCCCGTCCACATGACGTCGGACAACCCACAGGACTCCAGCTCTCCAACGAAATGTGGGATTATATCAGCCGACCTCCTAGAAGAAGGTGCGAGATTTCGTATCGTTATCGTTTGACGATTTTATTAAATATTTAGATCTTTAGTATTTTAGAGTTAGAACAATTTTATTAATTTACGTTAAGGAAATAAAGTCATGCTAATACCAATAAAGAATTTGTTCATTTGATTATGATATATGGAAGAATTTTTTCGCTGTTTTATGATTGTGTTAGGCTATTGATTGTGCCACTTACAAAGCTTTTTAGGAAAAATATTGGTAATACTCATAACTGGAACTTAAGAGTATTTCCTGCAGGAATATCCTATAACAACATGGAGAACAAGAGAAAAATAAGAAATTCGTTCGCGTAAATTTAAAAAAGTCTTCTCGAATGTACCGCTAACGTAATCGCGACGGACATTCGATAATTTCCTCTGTCCTTTAATATTAGCTGTGGGACCAAAAGGCAACCCAGAATACACACTAGATTACACAGATTACTGAAGAGGAAGCATTATTTTATGGCATGTTAATTAAAATTTCGAACAAATGTTACTTGAATATACTTCGTTTCTATTAATGTTAATGTTTTAATGTTAAAATTAATATTTGAATGGATGTGGTCTGAAGAACCCACAATTGAGAAATAAAAGAAAAACAATTGACTCTTTCCCCATGATATACACGCAAATAATTGTAAAATAATATTACTGCTTATTTGACAATTAAGCAAAAGGAAACCCAGAATACACACTAGGTTACACAGATTACTGAAGAGGATGTATAAACAATTTTGTGGCATGTTAATTAAAATTGTCTACAAATGTTACTTGAATATACTTCGTTTCTATTAATGGAAATGTTTTAATGTTAACATTAATATTTACATAGATGTGATCTAAAGTACCCACAATTGAAAAGTAAAAACAAAAAACAATTGACTCATCCCTCATGATATAAACGCAAATAATTGTAAAATAATATTACTGCATATTTTACGGAAATGATATTTGACTTTTTTTAAACAACCCGGCGATTCCTCAAAAGTCGAATATTTGTCAATGATCCGGTTCGGTTTCCAAGATAGTAATACTGTATCCCGAACCAAAAGCTTGTTCTGGGAAATAACAAACAACTTAACAGGGGGGTATCGACAGCACCACAACAAGGAACAAGTTGGAGCATCGACGTACGTGCACGGGCGAGTCTGTCATCTCGTTCGCTAGAAATATAAATCGAAACGATAATACCACGTTGGAGGCTTTCATCTCCGCGATATCGGAACACCTCCACCCTGCAATTTGTGGGCGTCGCGTTTTTCTGGAGCGGGAGCGGGAATCAATCATTTCTAACTGGCGACAGCGGACAGCACGGCGGCGCAGTGCAGCCAACACCTGCTCCGCACACGGCACGCCAGGCCAGTACTAGTGAATACACACACACACACACACAAGCGTCGCGCGACCCCTAATAAAAACGAAATTGAAAAAGAAAAGCTTCGCCTAAGTTTTATGTCGTGTCGTGACACAGGGGGCCTGCTTGATTTAGTGAACTCGGGCGCAATACGCCCCCTCGCCCACCGCCCGCACAAAAAAACGCGGGGGGGGGGAGGGGGCCATCAAAAAATAGAATCGGGCTGCTCATCAAACGCAGCCCCTCTGGCCGGCGCGCGGCGGGGTCGAAGGCCGTGGCGCGGGGGGTTGGAAGTGGGTGCGTGTTTGAGCGGCACCGCGACTTGAATTAGCGTCTCAAGGGGTGCCGGCGGTAGAAACGACGATGATGCATTTTTTTCGGCGGCACCTGCGAGTGATGTCGGGGGTTGGGGGTGAGGGGTGGGGGCAAAAAGTGTCGTCTGTGCGCGCACGAAGGGGTGCGTGGGGCGGCCTTGAAAGGTCTGACCGAGTTTGGATGGGCCCGGCCCGGGGGTTGGGAATTGTCTCAACAAAGAGCGATAAGTAGGCAGTTTTTACTTGCTCGGGGCGGCTCGCGGAGGGTCTAAGGAACATGTTTGTGCCCTTACCCGGGGGTAAATAACTCCTGTTCCATCTTATTTGTATTCGGGTCAAACTTTACATAATATAAACAAAAACAGTAGTAAGTAAACGCAAAGCTGTTTTAATACGTTAAGGGGAAATGGTTGAAATTCCTGTATTTGTTTCACGGAAGGATATACGAAGAACACGAATATTAAATTTTCTCGAAGCATTGACGTGGTCCGAATTTCTCCTCTCAAAATAATGCGATGCGATGAGTTTGATACTCATTTCTGTATATAGGAGACGGAAGGGGTCTTTCAGCAGGTGATTTGCCTTTGTCTCTCACTGTGTGAAATATTGTAGAGTGATAATGACAGGCGAATGATAAACGATAAATATAATTTTAATTATTGATTATTGAATTATTTGATAGATCATTTGAATTACTGACTAGCAATAATCCACCACAGAAAAGGACACTAATGAAAAATAAATCTGTTGTTCGGCCTTTACAAAATTTTATATTTTCAATGTACTAGATACAGTGCGCCAACAAAGTTTCTCCACAGTGGCACCTTTCTGTTGAGAGTGCTACTAGCAGAAATTATGTTGGTAGTACGAACTCTAGCTTGTAACAAAAGAAAACGTTAATTGCGTTCTCCCTACAATCATAACAGATGCTCTAAGTGTTGTCTCCTACATTTATTTCCCAGTGATGTGATTACTGCGAACATACATACAATTTGTAATAGCCCCTCATTTGGCTTGGTGAGGAGAGGCTTTCTTAACGCACGTCACTATATTAACGAAAATTCTTTTCGGCTCAATATAACAACTCAAAATACATTACAAAACGATAAATTGAACTTTTAAGTGACAAAATTCCGGATGTAATTGTTAAGTAACAAATATGTTATTAGTAGTAGTAATAGATGACATTAAACGTGTTTCGGAATTTAAGAAAATGAGATAATAGCTCACACAATATGACATTCGAAAGTGAAACGCATTCTTCTTGTCACAACACTTCTCAAATTCAGAGACAAATTCAATGTAACCATCAGTATAATTGTTGAAAGCAGAAGAACTAAATCTTGAAATTTTGACAAGACTTTTCGAGATTACAGATTCGAAACGTGCTTAGAAAGAAGTGTCCATCGCGATTCCTGCTTTGCTACAGAACTCAGCCTCTCGATCTTTATTTCATTTTTGCCCGCACTGAACTTTTGATGCTACATTTATTTTAATAAGTAGGCAATATTAATAAAGACGTGACAGAAAATGGTTTTTGAAGGTCTTAATTCTCAGCGTTGGCATGTTACACAAGACGTGTTTACGGAAATTCACTAATCCACAAAGAAAATTCAAATGCTTGGAAGTGATTCCTTGAGACTCTACGAGAGTACACTATATTTTAACAATATGGGCAATATATATTCAAAGATATTACTATTAGAAATTTCAGAATTACCAGAGGATTGTTAAGAAAATAGAGCTCGTGGCTAGATCTCGGCAAATGTACTCGTTTTCCATTACGCGGCACCGGGTTCGATTCCCTGTCAAGATTGTAGTGTGCGTTTTCCTTGCAATTTCCCAGTATATACTGCTGTGTGGCGATGAGAAAATCACTTCTCAGATTGAGAAGACCGGAATACGGCCTGGGGATGTCTACGTGCTAACCACACGTACCCCCGTAACCCATGGCCGCGAGGCAGGGACGTCGCCGGTAGGCCTGAGCCCGTTCACGGGCTGTCGCGCAAAGTACCCACGTACATACTGTTAAGAATATATCCTTCGTATACGTAATACAAGCGAAAGAAAACAAGGAGCAAGTGTGCGGCGGGGCAGTACAAATTGGAGGAGCGCTACAAGGCTGCAGAAGGTGCGGGGCGGGGCGGGGCACGGGAGAGGAAGGAACAAATCGGCGGTAGGCGGGGAGCGACGACAGCTAATGAGGTAGAGACCTAACGAGCGCTGCCCGCCCTGTCCAAGGGACAGGTGATGGACGAGGCCGCGCTCGGACAGCCTGTCCACGCGCCGGCTCCCCGCGACCCGGTCACGACGCGATTCGTTCCAGCCGGCGAACGACTCGCTCGCAATCCGTCCGCGAGGCCAACTCGTTCGCGAAGTCATACGTACGAGGGTGTGTTATTGGTGCTAACCGTGTGGGTTTACTCAATCGCTTAAGGCGTACGCTGGGATGGTCCCTTGCCTTAAACTCCCAGAGGTAAATGTACAGCTTGTCCCAATGGTATTTGCTAACTGTAGCTTTAAATTTATAATTTTAATCTCTCGATTTTGACACTTTTTGTGGCTTTTACGCTATTTTCGAAGGTGGCCTTTTCGTTAGAGATTTTTCTAAGTCAGAGCGGCTGTTACTGTCACTCTTGTGGACAAATAAACATAATCGTTAGTGTATATGTTGTCTAAGGATGCTTTGAAAAGTGGCTCTGATCGGAGGTGTAGGGTTCGGGTCGCAGGCTTGTGGCAAGGATTTCGAGCAGCTGCTTTGTCAACTAGGTGAATGTCAGACGCTGTCTGGAGGAGAATTCTTGCGGCCGGCTGCTCTGTCGGTAGTTATTCGTGATTTTCTCCGATCAAACAGGCGAATGCCGAAGCAGTTATCCTATCAAACGAGCCAGGGACAGCGCGAGACCATTTCCCTTCCTCTTACCTTGTCTTATTCTATGCCCCCCTTAATAATAACTAATAATAATAGAATAATAATAATAATAATAATAATAAAATTTATGAGTCAAATAGGTACAATTAACACAT